TTGAGTTGTCAGCGACGTTCGTTGAGAAGTATACGCTCTTCAAAAAGACATCTCCGAGGAGCCACTCCGTTGCGCCCCCTATCTGGCCGGCAGAGATGCCCGAAACGCAGTCGCCATCGAGGTTGTTCTGATCTACTGGGAGGAACGCTAGATCCCTCGGGTCGATCGCAAACTCCTGCCCGCCGAACGTCAGCGCAATTGACGTCGTCGTGTTGCATGGCACCGTGAACCCGCCCTGGCCGTCCTCCTTCGCGCCCGGGATCGTTTGCAGCAGCGCCTCGGCGTCCGCGGGCGGCGCGATGAAGAGTGTGGTGCCCGTGTCGAGGATCGCTGTGCGTCCTGAGAGTTGCAGGTCTTGGCCGTCCGCGGTGACCGCGTCGATAGCACCCTCCCAGAAGCCATTCTGGTTGACATTGGGGATGTTGGTGAGCGTCTGAGCGTCGAATTTACTGGAGTCGAGCCCGCCAAAGGTAACCTCGCCGTCGTTTTTCTGGTCAGCAAGCCGCGAGATCTTGAACGACGTGATGGGCGCCTTGATGAGCCCGGCCTTTGCGAGCGACTCGACAGGTGTCAAAGTCTGTTGCTCGGAGAGGGTCTGTGCACACATGATGTGAGTGTAAATGGTTGTAGGTGAGAGGGTGCACATACGCTTTGGGCGAGACCCATCAGGCCATCAAACGGCACTTGGTCGCTGGAGAAGTCCACGGATTCGGTGTTCGCGACACCGAACGTGTGAGCATTGAGTTGAAGTCCCGCGATGGCGACATTGTCGGTGATGATGTCTCCAGCCACGTTGCCCGAGCCATATGATACTTGGAAAGGCTGGTTCGTGTCTACAAATGAAGACGACGACAGAGGACCCAGGAAAACGTGATTGCCCTATTAACCAGACTTAGTTTTGATGGTTCACAACGAGGTCGAAGAAATACGCACGCAACCTCCCCCACCCTCTGATTGGCAGTTCTCTGCACCAACCCAGAAGTCGGCTGAGCCGGAGTCCATGAGCAACTTGAAGTCGCGAGGTGGAGTACCGATCTGCACGGTCGCGACATAGCCGGTATCGTTTCCGTCGATGTCGAGGCCCAGAGTATCAGCATCGGCAGGTGCATTTGCGGGCGTGAGGGTCTCTGAGTTGGCGGCAGCTACGTCAAGGGGACTGATGCCCGCAGAAGAGTCGTCCGCCGACGCGGTGGCCTGCGTCGAAGAGGCGATAGGAGATTCATCCTCTGCATTTCCTCCGAATTGGCTGAAAAACTACATGAGCACGCAGCATGGCGAAATGGAACCAACACTTACACATCTTGACTGGAAACAGAAGTGGGGCGGCCGTGACCCTTGAGGCCGGAGCCGGGGTATCCGACGCGTGCGGGGCGCCTGAGCCCATCGGCGCGCTTCGCGATGGCGAAAGCAAGCTCGGCGGAAGAAGGCTCGCCGCGGCCAGTCATGCGCGCGAGGCGGCGGTGGGAACGATTGATGTGCTGCTGAAGGAGCTGCGGGGATGTTATTTATGAGTCTGGGACGGCGTGATGGAGACAGACCAGTTGTGGGTGGACATTCTCTCGCGCGGGGATGCGCTTGAGGGGGAGGGTGACCAGACCAGTCTGAGCGGAAGTCAAAGGGATGGCGTGGACATTGTCTGGGAGGGTGGAGAGGACGAAGAGGCTTCCCAGAAGCACTGAAAAGGAGAGACTGAGCTGCATGGTGAATGACAAGGAGTAAAATGAGAGAAATCAAGGCGCTGCCTTGAGGAGAGATACCGGAACCAGGAAGGCAGAGGGGATTGCAGAGGGCTTATATAGCGGAGCATTGTGGCAAGACAAACGGATGGGAAGCCGTGGTAAGGCCTTGGTAAGGCCGTTGCAACCTTTGTCTTGTCGACGCGCAGCGCACGTGGTGGGGACAATGGCCTGCGCGCCATGTGCGCCCGCATCCCGGGTGCACTGCTCACTCCGCGACATTCGAGCATCCGTCCGTCCTCACTCAGATCCCTCTCCAAGCGTGCTCGCATTGTCTACATATCCATCCTCAGACTTGATCCACGGCGCACCACGAAGATTCATGGACATGACTTCCTCACCATCCCTCAGTTTCACCCGAACCGGAAATCAGGCT